TAGCCTTTCCACCATCAAAGATCAAGTCTTTGAAGGCAAGCGCGTCTTCGGTCGTTTACTGCCTGTACAGTGCTGTACTCAATGGAACTGGCAGTGTATAATAGCCATTATTATTACACAGCATTACCAGTTTAATAAGCACACTATCATTCAGGGTATTATAACGCTTGAGTGTGAGGATGTATGAAGAATCTGAATGATTTTAGCAGAGTGCCAATGAGGAACGAATGGTATTAATTCCCTTCTAAATTGGCATCCAAGTGAAGGTGATAGATACAAAGAGGGCTTCACTAAATCATGTGGAAACACTGTAAATTGGTGCAAACACCCAATTAAAGTGATAATAACATCTAACATTCTCTTGGATATGAATAAAGAACTATAACCGAACTATATATCTATCTAATTTACTTTCCACTGCATTGCTTTATGTCACTTAAAAACAGTGAGGTTCTCAAACTTGTTTTTGCTTTTGTACTCCCAAGCAATGTTCAGGAGACTTGGGAACTACTTGGTCCTGCCAATGCTGTCATGGGTCCCAGCATTTGGGGTTCAATACTTGGGGGCTACCATGGCCCACCTAGTAGTGGCTGGGATCAAACTTTATTAGGTGGGGGTGGTTGTGGTTTGGGAGAGAGGGCATATCCAGTGTGACTGGGGGACCTGTGTGGTGCTGGGAACCAAACTAGAGTATTAAGCCAGGGTCCTCTGCATGCAAGGCAAGCACGTTAACCCCTGAATTATCTCTTTAGTCCTGGAGGTCAAACTTCTTAAAGTCACAGTATTACTCAGTATTACAATTTACTCAGGAAAGTACCTTCAGTTAAACTAACTTTGCTTTTATCAATTTGAAAAGCAGGCAATACATAGCTTAAAGTTTTCTTGCTAAAAATAATTTTAAAGATTCTCAGAACAACAAAATTCTGTCTTAATCTGCACTCAAAGCCACTTAAAATAACTAAATATCGAGGATAATTTGTGAATTTTTATTTTTTAAAATTTTGTATTGAATCACCATAATACACACAGTTACAAAGTTATTCATGATTTGGTTTCTTTTTTTTTGGGGGGGGGGTCACACCTGACGATGCTCAGGGGTTACTCCTGGCTTTGCACTCAGGATATCACTCCTAGAAGTGCGCAGGGGACCATATGGGATGCTGGGACTCGAACCCGGGTTGGCCGCGTGCAAGGCAAACACTCTACCCGCTGTGCTATCACTCCAGCCCCTGATACTTTGTGAATTATATGAAAGAAACTTTCTCCTCAATCCGAATATTGACTCTAGAAGTCAGGCATTTTCTGGTAGTTTCAAAGCAAAGGTTTATTTACTATTCAAGCAATACAAAGAAAATTACAGTGTGAAAATTTATCTCTACAAAAATATTAAAGCATTTTAACCGAGACCCAGCTAGAAATCATAGGAGATACTAGATTTTGGAAAATAAAAAAAAGAATTATAGAGACAGCATTATGAAAATCAAATTATCACCAAATTATAGTAAGTGGTCGTGGTATTACTTCTTATGCATGGAAATTACAACATGATTGACAATATTCACTGTCCGAGGAAATAGATGACAATTATTTCTATGTTGTAGGTTTCCACAGGGCAAAGGAATATTACCCATCTTTGAAAACTCAGATTCTAACTTAACATAGTACCTGGAATAACAGTAGATGCTTAGTAAGAATATGTTGAATTAACACTTTAAAAATATAATTACTGTGGTAAATTCTTGAGAAGTCCTCTATTATATATTATCCTATAGGTAGTTATTTTTCAAGAGTATACTAACAGTATAGAGTCAGGGATATAGCTCAACAGGCTAGAGCTTAGGCTCTGTATGCAAAAGGCCCATATTCTATCTCCAGTGCTACAAGGCACTCCAAGCACCCCCAGGAGTAACTCCTGAATACTGGTAGGAGTAATAATCCCAGCATGGTCAAATAACCCCAGCATGGATCAAGATAGTACAGGGGTAAGGCACTTGCACTGCATACAACCTGACCCCAGTTTGAATCCCTGGCACTGCATATGGCACCCTGAGTGCTGCAAGGAAGGACTCCTGAGCACAAAACCTTGAACACTTCTGGGGGTGGATCCAAAATAAATAAGAAATTAGCATAAGCTATCAATGCCAAAGTAATAGTACAGAGGGTAGGGTAGTTACCTTGCATGTGGCCAACCCAGGTATGATCCCTGGTACCCCACTTGGACCCTGCACCAGTACGAGTGATCCCTGAGCACAGAGCCATTATTATTGCACAGCGTCACCAGTTTAATAAGCAGAGTATCTAACATTCCAGGTACTACAATGCTTGAGTGTGACGATATAGAATCATGTAGAATCAAGAATCTACATGATTTTAGCAGAGTGCTAATGAGCAACAAATAGTATTAATTCCCTTCTTCCCCAACCCCCCCCCCCAAAAAAAAAGGTTAATTTCTTTTCTTTCTATCGTTCTTATTTTTCTTGGAGAGGAGAGAGGGGAGAGAGAGGAGAAAGAGAAGAAAGAGGGGAGAGAAAGAGAGAGAGAGAGGAGGGGGGAGAGGGAGAAAGGGAGAAAGAGAGGGAGATGCCCTGGAAATGCAGTGCCAGGGACCCCAGACTGCAGAAACGCCAGTGCTTCATTCAGTATATGTGAGGAGAAATGAGGCACTAAACCTGCCTCAAACATTGCAAGGCAAATATTTTTGCCCCTAAGCCACCCCTTCACCCTTCTATGGTTTAAACTCATTATTATAAGCATCCATTTGTATACTAAATCAGGATTAGTGTGTTCCCTTTCTACCCAGGATGTGTCTGTCCTTGTAGACCATCTTGCTCCTGTCTTCTCGACCAGATTTGGGTTCCCCAGTAAAATGCCTCCAAAGGCCTGGGTATCTCCACAGTACTAATGACAGTTCTGCACTACCCATGTGGTTGATTACACTGTCTCCTATGCTAGATGATGCAGATCATAAAGACTTACACCTAGTCTTACACCAGTTTTGCTCGCCACTACGGTACTTAGTATAGTACCTGTTGGGTAGCAGCTTCCCAGTGATCATTATCTGAACAACTAAACACAGATATACAAAATAAATAAAAACTTCCCTCAGAGTGTAGTCCTTGCTGCTATTTGTTGAGGGCAAGTCTAAGAAGTCAGTGAATCAATCTTTCTAAAAATTAGGGAGAGGGGCTGGAGTGATAGCATAGGGGGTAGGGCGTTTGTCATGCACACGGCCGACCCAAGTTCGATTCCCAGCATCCCATATGGTCCCCTGAGCACCGCCAGGAGTAATTCCTGAGTGCATGAGCAGGAAGTAACCCCTGTGCATCGCTGGATGTGACCCAAAAAGCAAAAATAAATAAATAAATAAATAAAAATTAGTGGGAAAAAAAAAGGTCCATCCCTATAGGAAAATGGAAGAAGCTTTCACAATGTACAGAACCCCAGCTTTTGGGTGCTGTGGTAACTACTTTGGTTGATAGGCTTGTTCTTCCTTCTAGTGCTTAAAAATCAGTAGTGGCTATCTGGATAAATGCCCTTATCCCTAAGACCTATGGCACTAGCGCTTATCACTTGTTTGAAATCTAAGTGTTAACGTTCATTGTTACTATTAGTCACATAAGTAATAATATGCTACTTTTCATAAGATGTTACTAACCCATCACTGACATATATGTTCTCTGGATTATTTATTTGAGAGTATCTAAAGATTTGCTCAGAAAAATTCATTCAATGCTCCCCCTTAAGATGAGTGTATTATCCCTTTCCTTTCGTTTTTGTTGCTGTTATTGTCACTGTACTATGTAAGGTTCACATACTTGGGGTGCTGGAGATCACCCTGGGAGTGCTGGAGACTGTGATCAGTAACGTGGGTAGTGTAGTGGATCAAACTTTCAGTTTCATGAATGCAAGGCAGGCTCCCCACTACTGAGATATTTCAGGCCCAAAAGCTATGTTTGTTTGATTACCCAGGGTGTTTCATGTAAGTATTTCTAAATAAGTATTTCTAAAAATACATTTTTGGGGGGGTGGGGAGGGCCATACCTGGCAGTGTTCAGGGCTTACTCCTAGCACCATCCTCTAGGGCCTAGGGGTCCATATGGGATCTTTGGGGATTGAACCTCTATCAGTGACATGCAAGGCAAGTTCTCTATTCACTGTACTATCATTCAGGCCCCCCAAAATACCTTTGGGAAATCTTATATAATCTAAGAATTGTAGAAAATTTCCAGTTTCACTAGAAATTGATACTTTTTCTTCTTCTATTAAATTTTTTCACTTTCCCTTTTACTACTTTAAAGTGCATAGAAAATTATTTCCCTTTTTTTGGTATGTACAATTATTTTGAAGAAGAAGAATAAGACATTTTACTATTACTACCAGCAGCATATTATTATTATTATTATTATTATTATTATTATTTGTGTGTGAGTGGTTCGGGGGCCACCCCCAGAAGTGCTCAGGACTTACTCCTGGCTCTGCACTCAGAGATTACTCCTGGAAGCACTAGGGGATCATATGGGATGCCAGGGATCAAACCTGGGTTGGTCACATGTAAAGCACATGTAAGCCCTACCCACTTATATAACCTGCTGTACTATCTTTCCAGCCTCCTACTAAAAACGTTTTTTTTTTAATTAAAATAATTTCTTTGCCTTTGGGCCATACCTGGCTGTTCTCAGGGATGATTCAAGGGTCACTCCTGGTGGGGGAGGGGAACCCTATGGGGTATCTGGGATCAAATCCAGGTCTGCTGCATGCAAGGTGAAAGCCTTACCCGCTGTACTATCTCTCTGCACACTCCCCACCCCAACTTCATGGTTTTGTTTTTGTTTTTTGTTTTGAGGTCACAACTGGCAGTGTTTAGGGATCACCCCTGATGGTGCTCAGGGGACCACATGGAATGCCAGGGATCAAACTTGGGTTGGCCACATGCAAGGCAAGTGCCCTACCCTGTATACTATGGCTCTGCCACCCCCACCCCAAATGCATTAAAAAAAAAATTGATATCTTCAGTAGTGGATCCTTAAACATACACCCAACACAAATTTTGTAAGTCCATATTAGATCTTCAGCTTATCTTGCTTAGTAGACTAACAATGAAAGAGCAATTTTATCTTAAAAAATTCATTACTTTCAAAATATTCCAAGGGCCCGGGAGATAGCTCAGAGGACCAGTGTACATGTTTTAGATGCAGGAGGCTCCAGTTTGATCCCCAGCACCATTATGGTCCTCCAGTACCAGTACAAGAGACTCCTGGGCCAGGAACAGTTCCTGAGCACCATAATAAGATAAACAAAACCAACTAAGAACCTGAAATAGTCCCAAAAAGCTGAATATGCATTTTAACTGACATAATTGTAAATGATGCATATTGTAGATAATCATCTGTTACAGGTGTGAAGAACAGTATACAGATCTCAAGAACAAAGAAAATTAGATTTCCACCCCCTCGTTATCTAACTCCCTAAGGGTTCAAATAAGGAAGCTAATCAAGGAACCATCTACCTTAGTCAAGCAATTTATAAAGATAAACAATAAGATAGAAGTTCTCAACCCTAATTTATGCTGACAAAATTAAATAACCCTACTTTCTATGTAACTAGACTAAAGAATCAAACTTTTAACTGTTGCTGGAGACCATAGATGGATGAGGCACTGCTTTGAAGTTTCTCAGTTACTGTATCTTCTTTGGCTGTGGTTTGCAAGACTTCACATACTCCACTGGTTCCAAGAATGCAAGGCAAACTTAAAAACACTTCATTGTTTATATCATAATGTCCCTGAAATGAAAACAACGTGGGATTATAACAGCTTTATATTCATATTTTATAACATAATAGTATTAATATTATAACTATCTTGCTTTGTTCAAATCTGAACTTAAGACATTTTTGTTCATTTATTTTCTAAACTGAAGTCATTTCAGAAAAATTTTGTGAGATGGCAAGAACTTGGTAAAAAATACTCCCTTTATGGGTAGGTAAGGTAGCCCCTTGCAAAATGGGTAGCCAGTTAGAGGCTAAGAAAAAAAAAACTGTCAGGGCTGGAGCAATAGCACAGCAGGTAGGGTGTTTGCCTTGCATGCAGCTGACCTGGTTCGATTCCCAGCATCCCATATGGTCCCCTGAGCACCACAAGGAGTAATTCCTGAGTGCATGAGCCAGGAGTAAACCTTGTGCATCGCTGGGTGTGACCCAAAAAGAAAAAAACAAAATCCTGTCTAGTGGGTTCCCTGTACCAGAAGCATAATATGGATGCTGGGGTAAGCGGTTTTTGGCCAAGCAAGTGAAAACAGAGATAGACAAATGGAACTATTTTAAACTAAGAAGCTTCTGCACTTCAAAAGAAACAGTGACCAAAATACAAAGACAGTCTACAGAATGGGAAAGGATATTCGCCAAATACACATCCAATAAGGGGTTGATATCAAGGATATACAAATTACTGGTTGAACTCCACAAAAAGAAAACATCCAACCCCATCAAAAAATGGGCAGATGAATTGAATAGAAACTTTCACAAAGAAGAAGTCCGAATGGCTAAAAGGCACATAAGAAAATGCTCCACATCATTAATCATCAGGGAAATGCAGATCAAAACCACAATGAGATATCATTTCACACCACAGAGACTGGCCCATATCCACAAGAACAAAAGCAACCGGTGCTGGCGCGGATGTGGTGAGAAAGGGACACTCCTTCACTGTTGGTGGGAATGCCGACTGGTTCAGCCCTTTTGGAAAACAGTATGGACGATTCTCAAAAAATTAGAAATTGAGCTCCCATTTGACCCAGCAATACCATTCCTGGGAATATATCCCAGAGAGGCAAAAATGTACAGTCGAAGTGACATCTGCACTTGTTTGTTCACTGCAGCACTCTTTACAATAGTCAGAATCTGAAAAAAAAAAAACTGAGTGCCAGAGAACAGATGACTGGTTAAAGAAACTTTGGTACATTTAACCAATGGAGTACTATGTAGCTATTACAAAAGATGAAGTCATGAAATTTACATACAAGTGGTACTACATGGAAAGCATCATGTTAAGCGAAATGACTCAGAAAGAAAGGAATAGACATAGAAAGATTGCATTCATCTGGGGAACATAAAGTAACAAAATAGGAGACTAACACCCAAGAATGGCCGAGATTAGTACCAGGAATTTTACTCCATGGCTTGGAGGCCAACCACACATGCTAGGGGAAAAGGGAGCTCAGGTAGAGAAGGGAACACCAAATAAAGGTGTTGGGAGGATCCTCCCAGGATGGGAGAAGCATGCTGAAAGTAGACTATAGACCAAACATGATCGCCACGCAATGCCTCTTTTGCAAACCACAACACCCAATAAGAGAGAGAGAACAAAAGGGAATGCCCTGCCACAGAGGCAGGGTGGGATGGGGGATGGGGGGTGGGAGGGATACTGGGATCTGTGGTGGTGGGAAATGGGCACTGGTGGAGGGATGGGTATTTGATCATTGTATAATTGAAACCCAAGCACAAAAATTTGTAAGTCTACAACTGTACCTCATGATGTCTCACTAATAAAAATTTAAAAATAAATCCATAGTAAGCGGTTTTAAATTTCCTTTTCATGATTTATTTCTCTTTTGATATTACTATGGTTTCAAGGAAATTTGTTTAAGCATTGTGCACTATTTGAGCTGTACGTTGCGGCCTTTTGGTGGAGATACGAAGCTAAAGGCAAACTAACTTGGAATAGCTAAGACCTCAGTCGGCACATCAGCACATCACCTGATTGGCTGAATATGTAATGATAAGAAGTTGGTTATGAGATATAGAAATGTTTCAGGAGGATGCCACACAATTATGATGGAGTGGCAACCAGGGTGGTTGGAGTTCAGGCTGCAAAGGTCTAGCAGGATAAGGGTTGGATCAAACTGTCTCCCCTCCAGCGTGTTCCTCTCATGCTGGTGATACTGAAGATACCTGGGTTATAAGGTGGGCACGTTTTTTTCTCTAGTTAAATATAAATGTTGACAAATACAATTAAAGAACGAGAAGAGCAATTACCTTTGCTAAAACCGACACAGAATGCACTTTCTTTTTATCATTTACAATACTGTCAACCAGGTCAGCTACTGATAGTCCAACAGACCAGGATCTTTGGCCTTTTACCCTTAACAGTTCCATGGCTCTAGGAAGAGGAATAACAACAAAAGTAAGAAACATGTTTTAGAAAACATTCAAGATAAGCACACTGAGTCTTACATTCTGTTTAAGAGTTAAGATACATTTATGACAAAGGTTTACAGCAATTGTTAGAAAATGCACACAAAATCTAATGATTATACTTAGAGGCAGTTAACAGGGAAAATAAAGATGGCTTAAAAACAAAATATTAGTGCTTACCATCACTAATATTTAAGTATGGCTTAAAATATGAGCTTTTCCTATCAAAAGTAATAATGATTTTAATATATATTATGCCCTATTTAAAAGCTTCAAACAATCCCATAACGAAACATAAAGTGAGGATCTTTCCTTCTGAAATACCTAAAAGAGGATTAGGAAAGATCCTAATTCAGAAGGAAAGATCCTCTTTTAGGGATTTATCCAACAGCAGTATGCTTAAGTGTCCAAATATACACATAACAAGCATGCCTGTCTTGTTTGAGATGGCAAAACTTTGGAAAGAACTCATCAAAAAAGGACAAGGTAAGTAAAGTACAACATAGCACTTGAGAAGTACAAGGTAGAAGAATAATGTCTATACTGTAGAGGAATGCCAATATTTATTTAGAGGGAAACAAGTTGCAAGACAATATAAATAGCACAAATCTATACCTATAAATGGAAAGATAGTACAGAGGCTAGAGAGATAGTACAGAGAATAAAATGCTTGCATTTCATGCTGCTAATCCCAATTTGATCTCCAGCACCCCATGTGGTCTACCCCCCGCAATGTCAAAATGACCCCCAAGCAGAGCCTGTATGTAGTAAGCCCTGCGCAGTTAGATATGGCCCTCCAAAATAAAACAAGTAAAGAATTAGTACCTAGAATCCCAATCTATAGGGCCTAAATTCAATCTATAGGGCCTAAATCCCTGAAAAGTCTCTGAACAAAGGCAAAAAATAAGGGTCTGTTCCTTGTACTTTGCTCTTGCCTAAATTTATAATGGTTTACCACTCACATTAGATGAATTTTCAGTCGTATTTGTGTATGTTTAATAAAGGCATATTACTTTTTAAGTGGTCTCAACAAATTTTCTTCTACACTTCGAAAATTCTAAATATCTGCAGATATTTAGATATAAGAATGAATCAGCCTACAAAACAGGAACCTTTTCTACTCTGTCAGTTATGAGTCTAAAGTATTTGACAAAGCAGTCTTAGAACTAGTTTTAGTTAAGAAATAAAGGAATAGAAAACACTTGTGCTTCTGGATTGGTCTGTACTACCTAGTTTTTTGTGCAGACACTTAGTAAGAACATGCTAATAGCCTAATATGTTAGTCATGAACATACGATCTTTTAGTTAGATAAATGCAAGTGAATAGCCAGTATTACCTGTTGGACAACTGCACCTGAGAGTTATGACTCATTACATCCTGGCTACCCCATATAGGCACTAAAAATGAAACGAAAAATTAATTACATTTTGTCAATAACTCTTTTAGAATTAAGATGTGATAAACCAGTGTTTCCCAAAATGGGAAATGCTGCCCCCTGTGGGAATTAGAATATGGTCACCAGGAGTGATCCTTGAGCACAGAGCCAGGAATAACCCTGCAGGGTGTGGCCCAGAAAAACAAAACAAAAAAGAAAAGAAGAAAATCCTTGAGGGCAATAATGTACTTACATACCAGCTATTCTTTCAATGTGATTCCAAATCCTAATGTTGCTTCACTGCAAAACATAGTCTTACAAGCTTTTTACCTCATACTGCCAATTTTCTTTCACCACCATCCTACTGACAAGCGTAGTAAGAGCTCTACCATTTACCAAATGCTGACTTGGTGCTGCACACCATACTGAATGCTTTGGATACATTATCAGATTAACAGAAAACAAAACAGCTTTGGAGTCAGGCCAGGGTTCACATCTCAGGGTTCAGTTCTTAGTAAATGTGTAACTTGGGCAAATTATTTCATCTCACTGAGCTTTAATCTTCTGCATCTATTAATCTGGAAAACCACCACCTCCTTACAGGATGTTCATAAAATTTATTTGTTTATATATTGGCCACACCTGGCTTGTCAGGGCTTACTTCCGGCTCTGTGCTCAAGGGATCACTCCAAGTGGTGTTCAGGAGGACCATATGTGATGCCAGGGATTGAATCCAGATTGGCTATGTGCTGGGCAAGTGCCACATTTGCTGTAAACCTCTCAGGCCTCTGCTTGTAAAATTTAAATGTGATATGCAAAGTATTTCATGCACAGTAGAGGCACTGAGAAAATAATTATAGGGGCAGAGAGATAGCTCAAAGGGCTAATACACACGCTTTGCATTTGGGAGGACCAATTCAATCCTTGGGCAAGACATGGCATCCGAGACACAACTGGGAGTAAACCTCTGTTAATGAGCCAGGAGCAGCCCCTGAACATGGTGAGGGGTGTCCCCACTCCCCCAAACAAAAACAAAAATAGTAATAATCACTGTAACTATAACGTCACTGTTCACAAAAAGGAGAACCAGTTGTGTCTACCAGCAGAGGGAGCCCCTATGCCATCTCTGGCTTCAGTATCCAGGAAGTACACCTGCAACATCTTTGAAACAAAATGAAAAAGAGAGTAAGAAGTGATCTAGGTTTTAGGAAGGTTCAAATGACAGAGCAACATGCCTTGCATGTGTGGGGTCTTGAGTTCAATCCCCAGAACCACATGGACACCAAAAAGCACAAAGTCCCCAAGAACTGTTGCGGCAAACACCGCAGGCCCTTGTCCCCCAAGGAAAAAGAAGTAATCTGAGAGTAGCATCGAGACAGGGGAAAGGAAGGCGGACTGAGAGGCGGAGGCAGCTTCAGTGGCATTGGCAGTGTTTTTAGTTGGCAAGATCCAGGAACGGTTGCTCTGACTGTATGCTTTAAAGCATACATATACACTACATATACTCTTCTATTTATATATTTTATCATTCTATAGCACTGCAGTATCCTCCCATTGTTCATCGATTTGCTCAAGCAGGCACCAGTAACGTCTCCAATGTGAGGCTTATTGTTATGTTTTTGGCATATCAAATACGCCACAGGGAGCTTGCCAGGCTCTGCTGTGCAGGCGGGATACTCTCAATAGCTTGCCGGGCTCTCTGAGAAGGACTAAGGAACTGAATCTGGGTCGGCCACGTGCAAGACCAATGCCCTACCTGCTGTGCTATCGCTCCAGCCCTATTATTCTATATACATTGAATATCTTGTAATACTACATTTGATCCTAATTTGAATACAGCTATATTCCTCTATTTCTAGTTCCCATTTGAGAGCTCAAGATAAAATCCCCATATCCCATCTTTGTGCTTTTATTTCCCTTAGACTTTTACCTTTTATTAATGTCACACCATCCTTTATTTTCTTTTTGATTTGAGATATTAACACAACCATATTTTGAAATTCTAATTTTTTTAAAAAATTGTAATTTATGTGACCAGAGAGATAATTTAGTGGATAAGGAGCTTGCCTTGCATGTGGCTGACCTGGGTTTGATCCCCAGCACTCCATATGGTCCCCTGAGCCCACAGGAGTTATCTCTGAGCACAGAGCCAGGAGTAAGCCCTACGCACTGCCAGGTGTGGCTCAAAAAAAAAAACCCTCAAAACTCCAAAATACTGTAACTTATTAGGGAGACAGATTAAATACTTTGGTATATTTAGTAAATAAAAAGAAAGCCGGATGATAATACAGTTGACGGGGCATTTGCCTTGCACACAGCCAACCTGGGTTTCATCCCCAGTTCCCCATATGGTCCTGCAAGCACTGCCAGGAGTGATCCCTGAGTGTAGAGCCAGGAGTGAGCCCTGAGCACTGCGGGGTATGGCCCAAAAACAAAACAAAAAAAAAACAGAAAGAAAGAATGATGGAACCGGAACAATGGATTGGGAGCTTGTCTTGCATACAGCTGGTTCAGGTTTGATCCCCGGCATTCCATATGGTCCCCTGAGCACCACCAGGAGTGATCCCTGAGCACAGAGCCAAGAATAAATCCTGAGAACTGGTTGTGCCCCAAAAAAACAGAAAGAAGGAAAGTTATGCTTTTACATAATTTTGATATCAAGTAGGAATCAAGAGTAGAAAAGAAATAAGCAGTGCTCTATATATAAAGAGAGCACTGCCTCTCTCTCTTATACACATATATATACAAACACACAAACACACATATACACACACACACATATATATACACTCACATATCTATCTATGTATATATAGAGAGAAAGATAGTGGTCAGAGATAGTAAAGGTGGTAAGCTGCTTGCCTTGCAATGTGGCTGACATTGGTTTGAAACCCCAGCATCACATTTAGTTCCCCAAGCCCAATGGAGGTCACTTATAAGCAGGAATAACCCTTCAGTGGTAGCAGGTATGGTCCAACATCTCTATTCAAAAAATCTGGTGAATGAGGGAGATAGTTCAAAGGACTGTAGTGAATCCCTGACATGCAGAGGCCCTGAATTTGAACCTGACACCACACAGTCCCCTAAGCATTGCCACAGTGGCACCAGGCTAAGTATCTCTGGGACTGTCCCCAAGGTCCCCTGAGCACTGCTCAGGAAACACCCTTCACCAGATAAAAGGCCAAATAATGATCTCTATGTTATTATGCAATCATACCCAAGTTATATTAATAAGGAAAAATAGAAGATAGAGTATGACATATGAGGTATATTGCATATATGAGCTTATCTATGAACATAACACATATATGGAAGGCTACAGAAAAAAACAGGTAACTATAATTATTTCTATGGGTGTTTGACATAGATGGAAGACATTTCTCACTGTGTATATTTTGTACTATTTAATATTTGGTAAAGTTAATGTATGACTTCCATGGCAAGAACAACAGCTTATGCTTTTAATAAGGAACAGGTACACACACAATTCAAGTTGAATAGAATAAATAGCAGCTTAACAAAAGAATAAGCATCGTGAGATAATATATGGCTGACGTACAGCCAACAACAGCTTTCAACCAAAAGAGTGAAGAAACCCCTAGGAAGCGATCACGAAAGAATTCATAGTATAAACAGAGGAGATTTGCCCTAGACCTTGAGAGATTTAAACATGCTATGAGGTGAGGGTGGGAGGGTTAAGCCCTGGTTTTAGCTCTTTGATCCTAAAAGTTATAAGCTTGTGTCCCTGAATCCATTAATTTAATAAATGTAATCAATGAGCCCCTGGGACCCTCAGCTTTCTAGTAACATGACTCTCCAGAACTGGGAAGGATGATTAGGGCTATGTTTGGGGACTCCTTGAGTGCCAAGCAAAGGAATTTAATGAAATAATTTGGAGTAAATCAGGGTCAGTTTTTGAAAAGAAGAGTATCATTGAGTATGTGAAAACAACAGTCATGGTTATGGTCCTCCTGTTGTTCCTCGATTTGCTCGAGCGGGCCAGTAACATCTCCATCATGAGACTTGTTGCTACTGTGTTTGGCATATTGAGTACGTCACGGGTAGCTTGCCAGGCTTTTGCCAGGTGGGCGATATACTCTTGGTAGCTTGCCTGGCTCTCCGAGAGGGGCGGAGGAATCGAACTCGAGTGGGCCATGTTGGCTGCGTGCAAGGCAAACGCCCTACCACTGTGCTATCGCTCCAGCCCCAAAAACAACAGTAAACATCAGTTTTTGACTAGTATCCTATTGAATGTTGGTAACATATATGGGGTATACTACAGGAGAAAGAACAAACTAATGGAGAGGTTTGTAATAGTCAAATAAGAGATTGTCAAGTGCCAGGACTCAAATGGTGGAGGGAAAATTTGGGGGCTTGAAAGTCGTCGACTCCCCAAACATTCATTGCACCAATACAGAGGTTCTCAAACTTCTCTGGTGCACCTTTTCAGATAAAAGATCGCTCAGCACCCCCCCTCCCCCCGCAACCTAAGAGTCTACCCACCACCTAAAAATCTACCCAAAAAGAACAAATAGGCAGCATCACCCCACTGCACCTGAAGCTACTTCTGTCCCCCTTGATTGCTCCAGCAACCCCTCCTGGAGGCAATATTGCCCACTTTGAACAATACTCCTCTAATACACCTGCTTCAAATGTACTTATTTGCCTTTCTTTTCTCTTTCTTTTAAGTAGCATGGTTTACAAAACTATTATTGGTAGGGTTTCATACATAAAACTTTCGGCACCATACCTTCCACCAGTGTCCACTTTATCCACCATTGTCTCAGTGTCTCCCTCTAAAACCCCCTCATCCCTCAGGGAGCAGCTTGAGCCTGAAAATTATTTCTGCTTAATCACACTATCAGGTTTTATAGAGGTTTATACTATAGCCTGATTCATTTTAGCACTGCACTTTCTAGCTGCCAATGCAGATGTCTGTAGATTTAAAATATGCTATATTTTATTTTAAAGTACACATATAATGCATATTCAAATGATAAAAACACAGGAAAATCAGAAAAGCACAAAAAATGTCATCATTATCTCTAACCCAGAGATTGCCACAGTTAATGTATGTTTCCTCATTTATTTGTTTTGAGGGCCACAGTGGTTTTTGGGTGATGCTCAGGGGTTACTCCTGGCTCTGTACTCAGGAATTACTCCCAGCAGTGCTCAAGGGCTCATATGAGATGCTGGGGATTGAACCCAGGTTGGCCCCATACTAGGCAAATGCCCTACTGGCTGTACTATGGCACTGGCCCGAGCAAGTGTTTTACACGTAGTAGGCCTGGGTTCTATCTCTGCTTACGCAGGGTTCCCTGAACACTGACATAAGAGAGCCCTGAGCATAGGTGAGAGTAGCCTCCAAGCTCTGCAGGGTGTGACCCAAACTCACCCCTGCCCCAGAGCACCCCCAACCCTCACACACAAAATTTGAAAAAAAAAATGAGGAAGTGGGGAGGGAGGCAGAGGAGGAAGAGTAAGGAAAAATAAGATCTGACTAAAGGACTGTGCTTAATCTTAAAATTCAAGAGAAAGGTAAATATAGTGTGAATAATCTATCAAAAGAGCCGATTTGCAATACGGGGCCTATGACATAGAAGACACTAAAATACAGAACAAAAGCCAACCAGACTCCACAAGCCTGCATGCAGCCCACCCAATGACATCATGCATACTGGTATCTGAAAATCACGACCACTGGTCATTCAGTTATTAATATAATAACAATTTACTTCCTACCTTTATCTTCTCCTTGCTCACCAATAACCCATACTTCATTTCCTGAAGTTTGTGTCTTCAAAACATTTGAAATGATATATTGCAATCTCTGTGAATCCAGATTGCATCCAATTCCAATCACTCGATTCATAGGGAATGCGCTTAGCTTCCATGTCACATAAGTCATGATTTCCACTGAACGGTGCACACAAGATGAAAAATAAAAAGACTTAAGAAGAGTATACTCCTAGCTAAAACAGAGCATTTTTCATTTGAATAAGTTTATCAGTATTTCTATATGTTCTTTTAAATTCACTGAAGCAAACATTTATCTTTAATCATATTAAAAATAAAACAATTTTAACATGCTTTTACATAACTTTGATATCAAATAGTAATCAAGAGTAGAAAAGAAATAATTTCTTAGAATTGATAAGAAAGATGAAAATCTGGAAATAATTTTTCATTGACCAAAGTTATCTTTATTTTTTTTATTTTTATTATTTTAATTTTTATAAAGTTGTTCATGATTTATTATTCAATATTCCAACACTAATCCCACCACCACTGCACCTTCCCACCACCATTATTTCCAATTTTCCTAACCACCCCTCAAACCCTCCCCTATACCAAATTGATCTCAGGTATGCGGGTTTTTTTGACTGGAATCTCCAGGCCCTCATGGAATCAGGGATGGGCTACCTAGCCCCACCTCCTTGTTCTTCTGAACACTCATGAACTGCCTCTGGCACCAAATAAGCATTAACTGGCCATGAGCCGGAGACTCATAAATAAATATTAAAAGAGATCAATAAGTTGCAGAGATGCTTTCACACCCCAAAGTCACCATCCAATTAAAAATTTAATTCCTGGGGCTGGAGTGATAGCACAGAGGGTAGGGCGTTTGCCTTGCAAGCGGCCAACCCAGGTTCGATTCCCAGCATCCCATATGGTCCCCTGAGCACTGCCCGGAGTAATTCCTGAGTGCATGAGCCAGGACTAACCCCTGTGCATCGCCGGGTGTGACCCCCAAAAGAAAAAAAAAATTAACTCCACCTGTACCACCCCATTCAAAATTTTTGAATTCCTGGATCGTGTGGCCACATAACATCTCAAACTCCACTCTGATAAACCAGGAGTAGCACACCACATTGGATGGGATGTAAAGTAGAAGGCAACCAACCTCAATAAGAAAATATAAACAAACAAACAAACAAAAATATAAATAGGGGGCTGGAGCAATAGCACAGCTGGTAGGGCATTTGCCTTTCATGCGGCCAACCCAGGTTCAATTTCCAGCATCCCACATGGTCCCCTGAGCACCACCAGGAGTAATTCCTGAGTGCAAAACCTGGAGTAACCCCTGTGTATTGCTGGGTGTAACCCAAAAAGCCAAAAAAAAAGAAAGAAAATATAAACACACAAGGCTTACCCTGTAACATCATGTTAGTAATCTTTTCTATAAGGGCTTAATGGCTCCATGGTGAGATACAACAATATTTAAACACTTCATCTTCTAAAGAAATATTTTCTAATTACTTTCATCGAATTATAACAAGCAATACGAAGTTCTCTTTAATATCTTTCTCAAGCTGAATTTTAATTTTTTAACTAAAATATTGATTCATATTATATAACATCACTAAGCAGTGTACACTATGAATAAAAAATATTTTTTCTGACATTTCAAAAGGATGTAGAAATTAAAGAGACCAAAGACCCTCAACTGATTAGGAAAACAAGTGAAATGAATACTATACCCTTAGATTGAGAAGACAAAAGTCTGTTCGCTAGAGTCTAGTACCACGTAGTTCTTTGAAAATGTTTATTTCTATTTTGTGGCCTCACCTAGCAGTGCTAGAGGCTTCTTCAAGCTCTGTGCTCAGGAACCACCCCGGTGGGGTTCAGGGGACCATATGTGGTGCCTAGGATCAAACCCAGTTCTGCTGCCTGCAAGACAAATGCCCTACCCACTGTACTATCTCTCTGGCCCCAAAATGTTTCTTTTAAAGTTAAATAGTTTTAAAGCATTTTGAAAACATAAAATGTCAAAAATCCACTATGGGACTAGGAGGCAGCTCAGGGTTCAGGGGCACAAGCCTTGCAGGTACAAGACCTCAGATCAATCCCAGGCACCACATGACTCCTGCGCATCTCCAGGCACGGTCCTGGTGTGGTCCACTGGGTCCAATCAGCACTGCATCATCATGTGCCAAACATTAAACTACCTAGCACAGCTGGTCAAACAGCACTTAAGTAGTCCCTGGGGCCCCTGAGCAGTGCCTGGGAGGCCCAAAATAAATAAACAACGCATTCTGCACACTCACTAACATTTTATGACATTTAAGAATTAATACAAGTTGGGGCTGGAGTGATAGCACAGCGGGCAGGGCGTTTTCCTTGCACGCGGCCGACCCGGGTTTAATTCCCAGCACCCCATATGGTCTCCTGAGCACCACCAGGAATGATTCCTGAGTGCAGAGCCAGGAGTGAACCCTGAGCATCGCCAGGAGTGACCCAAAAAGCAAAAAATAAAAGAATTAACACAAGAGTTCTCACATTAGCCACTGCATTTGGGGGGTAGGGTGGGGGCGGGGGGGCTGGATAAGTGTCTAAGGGGCTCTCCATTGAGGAAGACATGGCTAGCAATCTGGAACTAAGATCCCATTACATACCCTGTGATCTGTCCCATTAGAATCAATGACAGCCGTAAGAAATGACTGGCTGACAGGAAAGAAGCTTGGAACGGTTCATTACACAAGCAAACCTGAGTTTTCTCTCTATAACTTAGACTCAGGGCTATGGCTATAATCCTCAACTGGCAATTCACTAATGGACTAGGTCATAAGACTCATTTAAAATGCAATCTCTCACCTGGCTGGGATGCCACAAGCAGGATACTGTGCTGACTATAATGTCCCAGAGCGGGGACCAGGGCTCGAAACATCTCCACGTTGCTCTGTACCACATCAAGGTAGGACTGAGAATTCCCCAGAGAGTTGACTGTGATGATCACCACCTTGGAGTGAGCAGAGGCAGACAAATCTGATGAATAAAAAGAAACAGTTGGAGCTGAAGGTAGAGGTTTTCATCATAAGAAGGGCTTACTCCCCACTCTCACCCCTAACCCCCCACAGTAAGTGGAAAGCTTCAAGGAAGTACACAAAGGGCTGGGATTTTTCTGTCCCTGGGAAAAGACTAAGAAAAGTGTATCCCAACTCTGGCAGGAGAGTGCTGTAAAGATAAACAAAAGAACTTATAGAGCCTACAAAGACATCATCTTTTTTTTAATGTCACTGAGAGTTTTTTTTAGGAAAAATAAATAATATGCTATCCCCCCAAAATGATCCTATTAAATCAGTGGCATTCCTGATTTTATTTTTTTTTTTGTTTTTTTTTTTTTGGCTTTTTGGCTCACACCCAGCGATGCACAAGGGTTACTCGTGGCTCTGCACTCAGGAATTACTCCTGGCAGTGCTCAGGAGACCATATGGGATGCTGGGAATCGAACCCGGGTTGGCCGCGTGCAAGGCAAATGCCCTACCTGCTGTGTTAATGCTCTAGCCCCCATGCCTGATTTTAAACTATGAGTTCAGGAGTTGTAGAATTCCACAAAGTGACTCAGACCCTCGGGGAGGAGTGGAAGTTAGTGACTAGGAGGAAGGGAGTCAGGCCCTGAACTTTGACCTCTCCAAGCAGAGTAGCTCCTCTAACATTTATAAAAAAAATTCTACTCCAGGAGCTAGAGAGAGAGTGATAGCTCAACAGGCTGAGAACATGCTTTGCATAAGAGAGACCTGGCATCAATCCCTAGCACCATATGGTCCCCTAAGCACCACCAGGAGTAAACCCTACCTAAGCACATTGTCAGGAGTAGTCCTTAAGCACCACTGGGTATGACTCAATAAACGAACAAAAATAAGTTTCATGCCAAAAAGGGAACATCTCTTGAATTTTTTTTTCTGTGTGTGTTGAGGGGGACACACCCAGAAATGCTCAGCAGTTACTTCTGGCTCTGCACTCAGAAATTATTCCTGCTGGTGCTCAGGGGATCATATGGGATGCTGGGGATTAAACCCAGGTTGGCTATGGGCAAGGAAAGACAAGTGCCCTACCTGCTGTACTATCATTCAGACCTTACCAAGCCCCTAATTTTTTAGAGATAAAATGCCTTGGTTTTTATTGAGGCAACCTTGAGTTACATTATTGTATTATTGTAAGTAAGTTTTAAGAGTTGGGCTGAAGCAATAGCACAGCAGGTAGGGCGTTTGCCTTGCATGTGGCTGACCCGGGTTCAATTTTTCCATCCCCCTCAGAGAGCCTGGCAAGCTACCAAGTGTATTCCGTCTGCATGGCAGAGCCTGACAAACTCCCCGTGGCATATTCGATATGCCAAAACCAGTAACAACAAGTCTCACAATGGAGACGTTACTGGTATACGCTCGAGCACAATCGATAAACAATGGGAGGGCAGTGCTACAGTGCTAAATTTTAAGAGTGATTTTTGAGAGAGCAAGAGAGAAAGATAGAGAGAGAGAACAAACCTGCCATAGAGGGAAGGGTGGCAGGAGGGTAACTGGGGCCATTGTGGTAGAAAATTGTACACTGGTGAAGGGATGGGTGTTGGGATATTGTATGGCAAACCCTATCAATGAACACCTTTGTAACTGTGTATTTCATAGTGATTCAATTTAAAAGAAAACCAAACCAAAACAAGAGTGCTTTTTCATACTTCAGAAGCAACTTGTCACACCATGCCTATCACCAAAGTACCATATCCCTTTACCACCAGCTGCTGGCTCCTCTCCATCCTGATTGTCATCTTTTTCTCTCTCCAGCAACCTCGGTTCTATTCATTCCCCACTCCCCAGCCCCCACTCCCCCACTTTTTCTTATGCTATAGCTCTGTGTCTTTGCTTTTTAGATTCTTCTCTCAGTGGGACCTGCATATAAAGGAGACACTGTTCTCTGGAATTCATTCCTCCGACCCTCAAGCTATTGTACAGCTACATAACTCTCTGTTAGGCTGTATTTTACATGACAAAAGTGATCAGACATTATTAGCCCCAGACAACAGAAAAATAAGGAAGACAATGGCACCGATCCAACCAGCATTTATAGATTAACATTAGTAGCCCAGGGAGACAGTGAGTAGTTCCAGAGTTCTAAGGCTTAATTAAGCCTCCAAGGCCATCTTTCTAAACAAGCTTCAGAAGTATTTCCAGTTGTGTAATGTGTCCACTGGGAAACATAGCATCCAATTTTAGTTCATATTCTGATCTGATACAACTGTGAGGATGACAGTTACATAAACTAAGTCTTGAGTTTTAATGATGCTTCTTTATGATCCTCTTAATTAATTTCTATGTTCCAGTGTTCAGAGTCGTTATCTCGTGGTGAGACAAAACCTCAGTTGAAAGACACGGCTGGGAAAGACAGGTCAGTGGGCTGGAATACACGCTACATACAGGAGACCTAGGTTTAATCTTGGCACCTTAAGGCCTTTTGAGCACTGTTGGGATCCAGGAATAGCCCCGAACATCTCAGACTGTGACCCCAAAATAAAAACAAAAGAAAAAAAAAGAGAAAACTGGAAGACATTAGAACTAGAAGGGATACAGTTAGAGTTAATACTTAATTAACAATTCTGTATAGCAGTACTATTCTAAAAGCCTTCCATGTGTTATCTTATTTAGTCTTCTATACACCACGATATAGAGCTAATCTCATCCCCATTTAAAAAAAAAAAACTGGGTGTTGGATCCTACTTTAACAGACCACCTCCCATTTCTCATCCTTTCCCTTTACCTAAATAAAGTCTTTTACTGAATTCAGCAAAAATCAAAAACAAAAACAACCCAAACAAACATCTGTGTGTGTTCGGGCCACACCTGGCAGTGCTCAGGGAACACATGTGGTGCTGAGGATCAAACCCAGGTGTCCTGCATGTGAAGAAAACACTCAGTCCTCTGAGCTATCTCTCCACATCTCCATTATAAATGAAAAACTTCGAGGTACAGATATGTTAAGTATCTTGTTTCTAGACAAAGAGCTAGTAAGTAGTGAGAATTCAAGCCCAGGCAGTAGTCTGGCTTCAAAGTAAAGAACTATTTAATATCATAAACTTATTCAAAAGAGAGAAAGAGAAAGAGAATCTTAAGCATGTTTACGTAAAACTATGACATATGTCCTGTCTTGTTATGGATTCAAAGAACACTAACTGAACATGATATTGTGTTTCTGCCCGATATATAATACAGCAGTATACAAGAATCAGAACCAGGCCTTCAGAATGAAGGGCCAGAGCAATAGTACAGAGGGTGTGAAGGCGGAACTGATACCATGACAAGCTGCAGTTAACATTAAGTTTCAACTAGGCCTCAGTTTCTCTTTCCCCGGAGCATGACTTGCAGTTGCTGGTAAATTCCCAGTTGAGTAATTTGCCAAGATAAGGAATCGGGCAGTTGGGTCTGGCCGGTCATGAAGGGTCACTGCACACTCCTTAGAAACTGTTGCTAATTGCTGACCACCATTGTAACAGAGCCAATGTTAAAATTAGACCAGTATATAAGTTGTTTAATTTATATTCTTAACTCTGAACCCTATATAAACAGCTTGTGATTTGGAGTCGGGATCCTTGTCAAGAGTCCACTGTGTTGGATGAGACTTGGACCCTAGCTTGGGCTAGCACTGGCTCGGGCTACTGATAAAGATCCTTTGTTTTGCATTTATCGTGTATGGACTTGGTCTCTTCGCTACTGGGGTTGTGAAACTTGGGCACAACAAAGGTAGTGTGCTTGCTTTGCACATAACTGTCCCAAGATCAATTCCTGGCATCCCATATGATTCCTGGAGCACTGCCAGGAGTAGTTCCTGAATGCAGAGCAAGGAGGAAGCCTTGAGAACTGCCAGGTGTGGCCCAAAAACAAACAAAAAGGCTTTAGAATGACACTGGCTCAAACTTTGACCTTATTAGTTACTTATGCGAGGAGCCAATTAGCAACTATATTTCCAGGAGACCAAGCATCCCATCTCGGTCCTATCTCCATAGATAGCCCAGAAAAAACCACATGCCTTCTAAGCCACTATTTCTCAAACCACGAACTAGAGACAGTGGCTGGTCATACTGTATACTAAGTGATATCGATCTAATATCAAATAGGTAAAACAAAATAAATAATATTCATACCCTAACATAGTATTGTTCTCAAACTATGAGGTTGACGTGGTAAGATTCTGAATTTAAAATTCATTAAAAAATATTACTGATTTGTTTTCAAAACTAGGAAAAGCAGGCAACTGTGTTAAATACTGCTATCTAAACACTGTGGCGATCTCATGAAAATATTCTAGCTAATACATCCATCTAAATAAATGCACTAGAGCCAGTATATGTATTTTATTTGTCTAGTGCACTGTTAAACCACTACAAATATATTAGAAAGTTACTGATTATGCTTTTTTTGTCTTATTTTTCACAATGGTTCAAAATTTTAGTTTGTGTTTCCAACTGATGACGATGACCCTGAATTTAGAAAATGTTAAAGGTAGCTTTTTTTTTTTTTTGCAGTCTCTGCCCCCGCGCCTGGGTGTTCCTTCCCGGAGTCCCTTGGAGGGGAGCGGGTTGAGCTTTCCTCCCCGCCCCGACCAGGGCTCCGGCAGCCGAAGACCTCCAGGACCAGCCACCACCATGCTGAGACCACTCTCCGCACACATGAAGGTACTGGCAGAGGGACAAAGCCACGCGGGTTCCGGGGCCGAGACCTCCAAGCCTACTCGAATTGGAGTCGAGCATCTTCCACCCAGATCCTCCAAATTCCAGTAGGCGGGGGTCACACCCACCACCTGGCCCCCTGGCGCCGTGTAATCCCATCAGCGGCCAAGACTCAGAGACTATAAAAGCCAGATCCCGGAACCGCGCGGCCGCAAATGACATCTTATTAGAACTTTTTTTTATGACATCTTATTGTCTCATTACTACTTTGAACAAACTTGCAGGCTATCGAATGTAGCCTGCCCACAGGTCAGAGTCTGGCAAACTCCCC